CCTATTCGCCTTATGGTTTATAGTCGCCAGCTATTCAGAAGTAGCAGTGGTGGGCTAAAACTGTCGTTACTGCATCACTCTTCAGCTTCATATCAACATCAACTACATTACAGCGGGGCACGATCACGATACTATGTTGCACAAACTCGGATACAGCCAAAGCCAAAGGAGCTACTCGAATGGAATGTATATTCATAAAAGGAGATAACCGCGCGGTCTGCATAGTTAGTACAAATCTGCTTTGTTGTCATTTTAAGAGCTCATGTCCTTAGGGGGGGGAGGGGCATTCAAACAGGGCCGATGGTAAGTGGGTCTAGGACTAAGCACAGCAAAGGGAGAAACGCCAGGGAGAACACAAATTGCTCTCTTGTTCCCCTAGGATCCTTTCCCCTCCCTAGAACTTACTTCTAAGCACTATAATTGGCTCACTCACATGGACGTCCCCCCAAGGAGATGAGCGGCTTATGTTATGAAAGAAGTTCGACAGGTTGACTAAGAGAAAATCCAACTTTACCTTTCCTACCTCCCCCCCCCCCCCCAACAGAGCACTCGACGTAATGTGCCCGTAGTTTAGGGTGACAGCGGAGTCGGACTCTACCGAGCAAAAAATGGTACAGCCACAATTTTTGGAGTGCTAAGTGGAGGAACTCATTGTGATCAAATGCTCCACGAAGGACGTATGTGTCTCTTTATTTCGCTAACTTCAACTCACTAATGAGTTTCGTGATCGTGTAGCAAAGAGCTGTTAGAGGGGGGCAAACGAACTCCCTTTTTGATAACTTTTGTAGTAAAATATTGTTTTCCTTCTTAATTTTACCGGAACAATTTACCCCAGGGTATTATTTTCTGTATAAAATTTTTAGTTGCTGTCGATGCTGCGAAACAACAGCAACCCAATTTTCCAACGCTGCATTCCCAGGCTTCCAAAACGCTAAGGAATGAAACATTCCAGGACGCGCCAGTCATTCTACTTCCATTCAGAATCGTAGAGACGCTTGGTTGCGGTTTGGCCCATACGATGTTTCGCGGGGGCAGCTAAAATTGAAAGAGGTGTGCGATCTTTCTAGATAGGTCTGGTACCAAATAGCCGACGAGAAGGATGGAAGGCTTGGTTTAATCGGGAGCGATTTGACTTCGGTTTGACTCAAGATCGCTGAGCAGAAGCGCTTCCCACTACACCGTCTCAGCACCGGAGCGGAAGTTAATCTTTCTCTGTGCGTAGTCTTTCGCCCCCTCCTCCCCATTAAATATTCAGAGGTTTTTAGGCCGCTCTACAGTTCAATTTGTTTTCCTTGATCGACCTGGGCAGGTAGCGCCACGCAGGCTTGGTTGCGTCGTGCTTTCTTTCGCGATTAGCTAATAAGTGGCAGAGATACCTGGGAGGATTACTTATTGACGTAAACACTCGGTGACTTCGGCATATCCCTTTGTAAGTTGTAAACAATTTGAACGCCTAAGCAATTTGAAGTGGTAGTCGAATGCATGGCGCATCCCAGGAGGATGATCGAGTTGAAGTTGATAGACTGATGGAGGTCCACTCTTTTCTCTGCTTTTGTAATATTTGAATTTTCAGTGAAATCAAACGATTCTTATGTCTCAGTCACCGCTATGTTACCGTGGATCAGATCTGTTCTCAGTGAGCGCTTTCACTTCTAGTAAACAAAACAGCTCTCAGGCGGGCCCAGGGTCAACCTCTGCGCGGCCGGTGTCGGAAGCTTCATCCCATACCCATCTTCACCAGTCCCTTGCCCTGAGTCCCCCTCCTACTAACCCTCATCACCATGGCTATTTTTTTGGGATTTGATTCTGAAACCTGATGACAGATCCAGCTCCGCCAAAGGATTTGTCCGAAAGTGTCGAGCCAGGAGGTGGCCCAAGTGACGGTTGAAGGGGTTTCCAATGAATCATTGTGCATACGGTTTACATGGTAAATGCCCTACATTTATACAAGATGCTGAGCTATGGGAGAATCTTCAGCTCCAGAGACCGCGAACACAACGACCCCACAGTGCGTGTGTCTACCTTCGTGGGTGTTAGTCGCCTAACCGATTACACCCGGCGGCGCACCATTGTCACCTTAATCGCGGGCCTCACACATGGATATATTTACATAGTATTGGGTAACGGTTAGAGTTATTGGATATAGGTTTAGAGTACGACCAAGAGGTTAGAGTAGATTACTTCTATGAATCGCGAAGCAAAATGGTACCGCTTATCGCGGTATTTGATGCCACCTTCTTTCGTTAGTTTGGGAACCGTGATGCTTCTGGCGAGCGGAGGCCGTGCTCCGGGGAGCAGCAATGGTTTCCAAGGTAGGACCGTAGCGGCATAAGCGCCGTGGCCGTAAAGGGACCAGCGTGACGCTCAAACCCTTGATGAGACGTGTTAAAGGAATCTTGCGCGGAAAAATCATGATTCTATTTCAGCCATAAATCACTGGCTTGAGACTCATTATCCACGATAATAGTGAAAAGAACTGAAGTATTGCTTTCGTTTTGATTAGAAATTCGAAAACTCGAAAAGGCTGCTACGCGTTCGAATTGCCCACGGACGTCTTTCACGAATGCTGGCGACGGGGATGCTCAAACTTGGTTCTTGGAGTGCATTCACTAGAAGCTCTTTCTGGCCTTCTGCTTCGTTGCATTCACATCTTACACTTCTACTCCATCCTATTCCATCGATCGATTTGTCTCCACTCTCCGAAATCGCGCGCTTTAACCCGATTCTCTCATTGCGTCGCCTGGTACGTAGCCGGCCAAACGCCGTCTTCTTTCCATGCCTCGCCTGGCTCTGCCTCCTGGTCCTTCGATGGTCCATAACGTGTAGTTTTTGTACGTTTGTTTCTCTTCAGAAACCGAATCTTCATGCGTGAAACTTTGTGTGCTATTTCCAGTGATCACAACTGACATATTCATGTTAGGAAAGAGTGCAAGAATTTCCGCGCAAGGATTCCTTTAAGGGTAGGAGGCAACCGCCCAAAGCAGCGGCAACACGTACGGCTGATCTGTAATTTGCCATGGGTTTCAGTGAACTAGGATATTTATGTCCACACTAGCATTTTTTCTCAATGGTGCCCATTCATAACAATATTCTTTTTCAGATGGGAAAACACCGGATGGTACCATTCACTTTACTTATGATTCCGACGAAGAGATATACAAACTACAGGATTAATTGCTTTGAAAATCGATTTGCATTGCTTGAAAATAAACACGATAGAACCAATTCTATGTGATGGAAATCATGCACGGGACTACTTGCATATTTTTCTAAGCAAAAGCTGATTTGAGGTTGCAGCTGAAAGGGTCATGATTTTTCATAAAATATAACATAAGGTTGCGGCGCTCACGCGATGGTCGCGGCGCGCGAACACAGATCTCTGCGGCGAATTTTGATGGTGCGACGAAAATTTTCAAATTTGGCTTGATACAATACGAATATCTGAATTCTCCGCTAAATTCTATCCGCTCTTTCTTCGTCAACCATTATCCTCTTTTTCTCGGTCTCCGGACTGCTTCCGGACAATAAATCTCGTGGCGAACTCCGTCTACTTCGGTGCGTGCCCTGCCCACCAATAGCATTTGGCCCCCTTCCTTTCGCCGACCTCTACCCCCTTTTTCACCGGTCTCTGGGACCTCTCTTGGAACCAAATTACGACACTTTTGGCAAACTCCGCCCACTTAGGTGCGTGCTCTACCCAGTGATAGCAGTTGAGCTCTTTTCCCTCACCAACCTCTAACCCCGTTTTCCCCTATCTCTAGGACCTCTTGCAACCGAATTGCGATACTTTTGGCAAACTCCGCCCACTTGGGTGCGTGCTCTACCCACTAATAGCATTTGACCTCCTTTCCTTCGCCGACCTCTACTCCCTTTTTCCCAGCCTCCTGGACTTCTTGGAGCCGAGTTATGAATTTTCGTCGCAAACTCCGCCCACTTTGGTCATGTCCCTCCCACCATTGACAGCTGGCCTCCACTCCTCCACCCACCTCCATCCACCTTTTCCGCGGCCTCAGGGACTTCTTGGAGCCAAGTCATGAATTTTCGTCGCAAACTCCGCCCACTTTGGCCAAGCCCCGCCTACCACTGGCCCTTTGACCTCCACTCCTCCACCCACCTCTATCCACCTTTTCCCCAGCCTCCGGAGCTTCGAGGGAGCGAGTTGATGAGATTTTTGCCGTCTCGCAACTCCTGCCCACTCTTGATCAAGCCCCGCCACCGATGGGACACACTTGGCATCCGTACTCCTCCATACACCTCTATCCACCTTTTTCCGGCTCTTTAGGACTTCCCCGACCCGAATTATGAGGGCTTGTAGAAAATGCTGTACACTTCAGAGCGCGCCCCGCCCATTCTGGGCAGGCCTCCGCCCACGTCATGTATGCGGGAAACACCTTAGACATTGCTCCCTTACACCAAATTGTTTTCTGCTCTGTAGGCTTTCTCCCAACCGAGTTATGAAATTTTTCATAAAGCACTGCTTTTTTAGAGAACGCCCCGCCCACCGGGGGTGGGTCTCCCTAATTCGATGTGACTTACCAATGCACACCTTACCCACTTTTTGGCCCAGTTTCGAGGTCGTTTTGTCACTGAAATCGAAATCTTGGTCTTTGGTACAATTCATTTCGACGCACGCCACGCCCTCTGTGGGCGGGGCTCCGCTTAGCTGATGTGTGTTTTGTATTACGTGAGACCCTGCCCACCCATCCCACACTTGACCCGGTCCCTCCAGGCGGATCCCGAGGAGCTAGGGAATTTCGTGACAGACATACAGAACGACAGACGACAGACGACAGACGACAGACGACAGACGAAGCGCTTTATAGTAAGTAGGATAGGGAGCTTATGACGGAATGGAAAGA